GTTGTAAATGCACATTCTACAATTCAAAATTATGTGAAACACATTTGCACATGGCTAAAGACTGATTTAGCTGACTAATTTTAAAACTGAACTGTGTAACTTTGTAGAAAATTGTTTTATTCTACATGAAATATTTTGCAGAAAGGACTATGACATGCTAACTGCAAAGAAAAATAAAATGCACTTAAGAGGTAAATATAGAGGAGACTGATCCTCATACTACAATATCACAGACTGTCTGCTTGAGATACTGAAAAGAAACCAAGAAGAACATGTGATCTCTTTAGGTATTTAGTTGTTGGAATTTTTGTGTCTTTGTTTTTGTTGTAGCAGATGACAAGCATTATCTGTCAGTGTTAAAAAGGTGATTCTGAGATATAAAGGAAAAAAAATGTGTTTTGAATGTGTTTATTTGCATTTGCTAGTACTGATGTCTGCACTGAGTTTTCTTGGTGGCAAACCAGTGACATTGAGACTATCATGGTGAAACCAGATCCTTAAGGGAGATCAATGGAGACATGAAGAGTAGGGCTTCCCCCCGACCCCATTCTTTTTTTATTTTCCATTTTTGAAGAAACCATAAGCAAAGTATTCCTCAGAGAGCAGCAGTCATGGCCAGAAGCTACAGTAAACATGTGGATAGTGGGCATTTTGCCAAAGGTAAGAGAATAGCAGCCTTGGATAAAAAAAAAAAAAAAAAAAAAAAATCTCAGATTTTCTAACATGATAAGGAAATAACTTGCAGTCTAAGTTTCTGTATGGTTGAGGTGAATTTAAAAAACAAACCAGGACACTCATTTATTGTTTGTACAAGTTATAATTATAAAGATTTGTATTTTCTCCTCATGAATTTTTTTACTTAATTTCCTAATATTTATTAAGTCCCACTTTGTTCAAGAACTATTCATTAATAACTCTGTCCTGAATGTAAATGTAGTTAATTAAAAGAAAATGATTACTTTAAAATATTTTAATGTTATAAAAAGGAGGTAGTAATCACATTTTGCCCTCTATGTATTCTAACTTATTCGATCAATATAAATCTTTAATTCATAGAATCAGTAATGAGATGTATATTCACAGTGGTGTTATTATTCAAAAAAACGTTCAAAAAGAAATTTTCAGTGGTTGTAAAGTTTGTAGTTTTATTTGCTGAAAAAGTATCATAAGAAAAAAGATATGTAGGGGGGAAAAACAGACTCTAAAGTATCTTTATGTTAGTTATTTGTTGAAATAAAATTCAGAAACTGTTTAAATTAAAAAGAATCCTTAAAAGTGTCCCACTAACAGTTAACATTTTCAAAGCAAATCATTAAAACTTACATGAAAAATCATGGTGGTTTTCGTTTAAATATTAGCACCATACATCTTATCATAACTTGGGTCCTAATAACTGGAATTAAATGAAGGAATTAAATTTAAACTGGAACTGGTAATACAACTGACAGATAAAATGAAAATTTTTTAAAAATGGTGATAGGATTGAGAGGAGAAAGTTTAATAAGGGAACCTAGAGTTATTGAAAGTATTATCAACTTAATGAGAATATTGTAATATTGCATCAAAGATACCTGATGAAAGGAGTCAGCTAAAATATTTGCTGACTGACCAAAATGTTATATGACATAAAGAAAATATTTCTGGAATTTTAATGTGGCCCAAATCCAGGAAATAACTTACTTATTATTTTACTACTAATAATTTACTTATCATTTTGCGTATCAAAATAAATAGATACCTTTGGATGATTTTAGGTTCATAGATGAATAATGTAGCAGTTTATTTTAGTGAAAAGTTCATTCCTCCAATAAACATTGTTAAAACTAGGCTTTAATACTTTGTATAACTTAGATAATTTCTTAAAGCTGCTTTAAATACAAAGTTAGTAAGCACAGTGGGGGAGAATTTGGCTAAAAACATAGAAATATTGCACCTGGGGTTGAGTTTGCATGCATGCCACCAAGGTAAACTATATTACTACAAAGTGGCATTTGAAGAGCAAGCTTAATTAATATATGATTTCATAATGATTGGTTTCTGAACATATAGAACATAGCTCAGTAAGGAGCTTGATTTGTCCTTAAATGTTCTTTCATATAGAATCATATGTTCTTAACATTGCATTTCTAAATTAGAATATAAATTTAATAAAAATATGCTTATTAACTTGTTTCTCACCCACCAAATCATCTCCAATATTTTTTCAGTTTTTTAGTAATCTTTTCCTCCAGACAATCTTAGGTCAACATAATTTAAATTAACTGAAATGAAAACTGCATCTAAAGTTAAGAAATTATATAAGCTATTCTCTGCTTTACAAGCAACTTTTTTTTCCTTTGAGGTCCTATAGTTTGATAAATATTGTTGCTAATTTTGTGCTCTCATAAAATTTGTCTTCATTAGAACAGGCATTAAACATTGTGGGTTATACATTTAACAAAGAAACACCAAGCAATGGTCTAAAGATGGCCATCATTTTGCTAGAGTCTTGTTTTAACCCATCAGCACAGAACATGTGTGGTCATAAAATACCACATTAATACATTCTTTCCCTGTCAGAGTAAGCTACAGTGAGCTTGCCAAATTCCAACTCAGGTAGCTCCTTTTTTCCAGCCCACATTCCTACTGCTTTTTCAATTGGGTGAATTATTTTTACTTCCCCTCTTTTTAAAGAGCTTCTGGCTCACATAGGTTATCAGGTTTCTATTCCAGTGGCTGCTGCATTTCCACAGTGAATGAATGATCTCTCCAAGGTACTTTGGGATGAAAGCGAGTGGATAAATGTGAAGAATTATATTTTTATTTCTTCTCTTTGGAGGGATTATTCTATAACTTTCGTGTTTAGCTTGGAGGGCTCTTTTGATTTGATTTCTCTCCTGAATAAATGAAACAGCCACCCAGATGGCAAGCACTTCACATTTCAGCAACGTGTAATTTGATTTGGAAGTTCAATGAAACTCACTTGGAAATGTCCCTCCAGTAATATTTCCCTCTTAAAAATTTCAGTTTTAAATTCCTGGCTTCATGTATAAACAAGCTCCAGAGAGACAAAATGTTGAGTGGCAAGGTGGCTATAGTCATTATTTTTCTCCATTTAAATAAAATGTTCAAAATGATTGGTCTTCTCTTCGATATTCTTAAGATTTCACTGTAGAAGCTGTATATGCTGTGTAATTTTTAACTTCAAATATCCTTTTATTATTATGAAAAATATTTCAAATTTATTTTTTGTATTTTTTTAGGTTCCTCAGTGAACATGAAAGCCGATTCTGTGCAAGAAACAATATGGTAAAGGATGGGAAAGACTTTTTATAGACAGCCAAATCTTGTGTGTATGAAGATATAAAAATCACTAAAAACTTTAGAAAAAAGATTGTATGAGGCTACCAAATGGATACATTTTAATTCATATCCTGCCAATTTCTTTGGAACTTCTAGTATTTATGGATCTGGCATTCAGCAAAAGTGTCATTCTTAAGATTTTGATTCCTACTAAGCCTACGCTGACTTAGAAAACTTGTTTCCATAGTTAAAGTCTCTTATCTTCATACTCTATTCTCTCTCTCTCTCTCTCCCCACAAACACACACACACACACACACACACATATTCACATGCATGTGAATACGCATAAGCTGCTTCATAGGAGAACTCAAAATATTTTAAGATATAATAATTCTTTAAAAACACAGCATCACTTTCTTCAAGTCCCTGAAAAAAAATTAATCACTATGTGAAATTCTCTCACAATCCTTTCAAATTATGAAGGCTAAGTCAAGCTTTTCCCATCAACAGAGCTAAAATGAGAGGTGTGTGTGTGTTTTTTTAATCAATCAATGTGTTTTGAAAACTTTGATTTTTTTTTTTTTTTTTGTACCTGAGTACCCAGATTGGGATGAAGGGGTGTAAGGAGTGGAATGCAAAGCCCATCACAATCAACTCTCTGGAATATGTTCAGCATGCAAAAAAGCATATTAGCATCTGTATCAACTCTAAATCAAGTTTAGCATTTTTTAAATTAATCTTCAGTGACCAGTTTTAAGTGTTATCAGTTTATTTAGAACTGAAGTCTCTATATTATTTTACACTTTCTCATTTTCAGCAAAGATGAGCTAGTATTAGTAAAAACAAAAAAAAAATCCTGTAAATATTGCAAATGTAACAACAGAACCTTTCACATCTGTACTATATTATATCAGAATCTCTCAATACTGAGAAAACTGAATCATTTCTATTAGCACCTATGCCAGGTGTCAGAATTTGCTTTCTCCAGTTTTGTACGTGGAAACTCCCACCTGTCTCTACTATCACAGTGCTAGAGGATTTCATAAATAGTGCTGTTTTTAATCTCAAATAATATGAGAGAAAGGAAAAGTACAGTGCTTTATTGTGTTTAAGAAGTTTGGGGTACCTCATCTAATTAAATTGAATCAAATTTAAATATAAAACACACATTATCATCTACTTCATCATCCCAGCATGCATATTTAATGATAGTTTGAATTGGTCAGTCTCTGTAATTTATATTCTAAATTAACAAGAATTTAGATAAATAACATTGTAGTTCTTAATCAAGATGACTTACAGATGAATTCCAAGGATACAGAAAAAGGAATCCAAAGAGGAGAATATTAAAATTCCCTAAAGTCGCAAGAGTATTGGAACAGTTTGGTTTCTCTGGCTAAATGTTTATAAAATAGTCACATAATTGCATTTTGTTAATAGTAAAATGATACCATACAAATGCCTTATATCAGGTACGCAATGACAATTTTTTTCTTCAAGATGGAACACACACTTCATAGCATCTGCACTTATTTTAGAATCAAATTATTCAAGTTAGCATGGCTTGAAATTGAATATCATTGCTTCCAGCACCAGTAAATAGATATGACAAGGCAAAGTATATAAATAAATACCAAATAAATGTACTGAAGTTGAAAAATAAGTTTTGAAATCATTCTGAGTACAACACTTGATGTCTACAACAAATATAATTACCAATTAAAGTGGAGATAAAGGAAGAGTTGGGATCAAAAGGACATCTGCCCCTTCCTCGTTCAGATCTGTGTGGTTCCAGGTGAAACAGAGGATCCTGAAGAGAAAACCAGAAAGCCATTGTGAATGTGACAGCTTCAACAAGAATTTAATTGCTCAGCTAAAACATTGAACTTTGAATATTTACAAAACAAATAGGAGATCAGTAATGTCAAGTTATTTGGTAAAAATTACATTTTATACATAACCACATGGATATTGCAGACCCATACAAATTCTCTCATGCCTCTCAAAAACTAGAAGAAAGCAAAAATGGCAGTAAACAATTTGAGAGATGTTTGTGTTCACTTTCCACAGATGACAGTCTGCAAAGACAAAAAAAAGTTTGTCCAAATGATAATTGCAGGTTTCCCACCTAACACTTAAGCTAAAGGACACTTATGCAAATTTAAAGATCCAAGATCCGTAGCAATATGAAGGAGGACGTGACCAAGAGTTTCTTTACTGTTTAGTTAGTGCCAATTTATAAAATATTTGAAAAAAAAAGAGTAGATAGGATAAACATTTTATATGTGTTAAAATACAATAAAATGGCCGGGTCATAGAGAACTCATGAAGAGAGGAACTGAGCTGCTTTCTTAAATCAAGATTTTCTATAGCTTAAAAATTCTGTGATATTCAACTTTTAATCTCTAATCACTGATGAGATTGGTTTTACCTAAAGGATATAATCAGACAGATTAAACACTAAAATTGAGGTAGAGTATTAAAGAAAAGGAAAGGGATCATGGGAAGCAGAATGGGGGGTGCGGTAGAGGGGATGTATAACTATGGAGTGGATATAATCAAGATATGTTATTTGGATGTCCAAATAAGACATGGTGAAACACATTATTCTGCATATTCAAAATGCACTAATTGAAAAGTTTTCAAAAAAAACAAAAACAAAAACAAGTGCATTGTTTCATTGCTTACTATTTGACAATGAAGATATATAAACGCTGAATACTGAATACAGATGTACTCTTCAAGATCTCTACCTCAGGCCAAAACTCAGATGGACTTCACTGCACCTCCCACCTCTTCACAGATTTCAAATGCCTGGTGCACATTTTTTTGATTAATGGCTTAGCTTAGATCAACAATGTTCATTTTAAAATAATAAACAAGTTAAACATTCTGTCTGCTTTCTGTCTTATTAAAACTCCACATTTTTGAATACCTTAAAGACATATCTATCATTTTAATACTAAAATAATGTGTTCTAGAGCTTCTTATTTTTTAGCCCCCAAATGCTTTTTTAAAAAAGAACTGTTAGAACATTCTTGCTTTAAATGTGTACCGTTCTTAACCAGTATAGGTGTCTGACAAGAGATGAATAGAAAAAGAAAATATGATATATATACACAATGAAGTTCTACTCAGCCATGAAGAAAGAATTTATGTCATTCACTGGTAAATGGATAGAACTGGAGGACATCATGCTAGGTGAAATAAACCAGACCCAGAAAGTCAAGGGTCAAATGTTTTCTTTCATATTGGAAGCCGGTGAGAAATAAGAAATATAAAAAGGGAATCTATAAAATCTATAAAAAATAGAAGGGAGAACAGTAGAATAGAAGAAGGAAATTGAGAGTATATAAGGAGATGTGGGAAAGGGGAGGAACTGCAGAAGGAAATTGTCTAAAATATGTGCATGTATAAATATATTACAATGAATTCCACTTACATGTAAAATTATAATGCACCAATTAACATAGCAATAAGAAAATAGAAGGAAGACCAGTAGAACAGAGGAAGGTGGTCAGGGGCTGTGGTGAAGAAAGAGGAAATACAACACATTGTGTTATATACATTTATGAATATGTCCAAATGAGCCCCAGTATTATGTATAATTGTAACAAACTAAGACATAAACTTTAAAAAATAAAAGTTACTGAAACTGGATCATTCTTCTCATATAGAATAAATTTCTAAATGCTTAGAGGGTGTATTCATTTCATTCATACATGATAGTAATACTTCAGGGAGTTATATAATGCAAAAATGGAAAACAATGTCAAATTTTCAGTTGGGATGCTTCTTAAATTTGAAGACTACTCAAATGTGTTTTAAGTACTATAAAACAGGAAAAATAATATACCAATTTTTTAATAATAGAACATGTTGTTTCTTTCTACAAGAGTGTAATATAAGTGATGTCAATATTCTTTTTTGGATCATGTTAGGCCTTTAAAAATAGTAACATTAAAATATGTTTTTATTTCTATACTATATCTCTGCCTTTTTATTTTGGGGTTACTAAATTAAATAGTTTTAACACTAATATGTTAACTAGTTTTTTATCTTTGTTCTTTCTAGATATATATGACAGTAGAATGTATTTTGACATATTATACATATATAGAATGTATAACTTGTTACATTTAGGATCTCATATTGTGCTTGTATATGATGTAGACTTACGTTGGTCATGTATTCATATATAAGGATAGGAAAGATATGTCTGATTCATTCTACTGTCTTTTCTATTCCCATCACAACTCCCTTCCCTACATTGCCTTTTGTCTATTCCAAAGAACTTCTAATCTTCCCTTTCTTTGTTGTGGGTTAGCATCCACATATCAGAGAGAGCATTCTGTCTTTGTTTTTTTTTTTTTTGGGGGGGGGGATAGGCTTATTTCACTTAGCATGATATTCTCCAGTTCTATCCATTTAACAGCAAATGACATACATAATTTCATTCTTTATGGTTCAGTGATATTCTTCTGCATAAACACACACACACACATTTTCTTTATCCATTATTCTGTTGAAGGACACCTGTTGGTTCTATCGCTTTGCTGTTGTGAATTAAGCTGCTATGGACATTGAAGTGGCTGTGTCACAGTAGTATGCTGATTTTAAGTCCTTTGGATATAAATGGAAGAATGGGATAACTGGTTCAAATGGTGGGTTCATTCCAAGTTTTCTAAGGAATCTCCATTCTGCTTTCCAGAGTGGTTTCACCAATTTGCAGGCCCACCAGCCATGTATGATTGTACTGTTTTTCCCCACATTCTCACCAACATTTATTGTTATTTGTATTTTGATAATTGCCATTCTGACTGGAGTGATATAGAATCTCAGTGTAGTTTTGATTTGCATTTCTCTAATTGCTAGAGATGTTAAACCTTTTTTTTTTTCCATATATTTTTTTGACCATTCACATTTCTTTTTCTGCTAAGTGACTAGCTTATTTATTGATTGGGCTTGGGGTTTTTGTTGTTGTTATTGTTAAGTTTTTTGAGTTCTTTGAAGAAACAATCAAGAAAGTGAATGGAGAGCCTACAGAATGAGAGAAAATATTTACTACCAGCACATGCTGACTAGTTTTTATAGCAAGATATTACGATATTTTACTAAAGTAACACTTGATAGTAAAAGATAGTAATGGGTTGAGGTTTTTCAATTGAATGATATGAGATCTGAAGTATAGCTATGATCATAGGCAATTTTTCCAAAGTTATTTTGAGCTCAGCTTTATTTGTTGATACAATTAACAGCTTCATCACAGCTATCTGGTTGCCTATAACAAATGTGGGAGTGGCCTCAAAATAGATTTTATTTAAGCACACTATGTGCAATCACAAGCTTAAAGCATATTTAATTGACAGTCTAGAGAAGTTACAAGAAGTCAATATAGGAGTAAATAGGAATTAAAATTATCTTTCACTTATTAAATTAATGCTTTATGACATTGTAAGAAAATATCTGTCTGTGGTTAAGGCTGAAGAAACATAGAAAGTGTGTTTATGAATATATTGAAAAAACCCATTCTGAACCCATAAGTCTTTGTTGATAATAAATATAACATTTTCATTGACTAAATCATGACATGAACAAGTTCATAAAAAGGCTCTCTATTGAAGATAATAGGAATACCAAAGCCACATTTTTGGCCCAATTGCATTGCTTCTCTCAAACTTTCCTACCATTTCCTCTGTTATCCTTATCACATGACAAACAAATCCCTAAGACCAGAGTCAATTTGCAACATGTTTCCAAAATATTTTCCATAATTGAATTATAGCTACCATCATAAGCAGAATAATGAATGAAATCTTGAAGAATCTTGTCATAATTCCCCAAAACAGTGCACAGACATGATGCAACTTGCTTTTGACTTTCACAGGAGGCTCAGAAATAAGAGTATGCCTTGAGTCTCAGAGGAGACTTTGGACTTGGACTTTTGAACATTGCTAGAATTGTTAAGACTATGGAGGAACTTTGGATGGGCCGAAGGAGAGGGGGTAATGGGAGGGGGCATGGGGATAGGAAAGAGGGTGGAATAAAACAGACATCATCACCCTAGGTACATGTATGATTGTAGGAATGGTGTAACCCTATTATGGGTACAACCAGAGAATGAAAAATTGTGCTCCATTTGTGTACAATGAATCGAAAAGCATTCTGCTATCACGTATAACCGATTAGAACAAATAAATAAAAAAAGACTATGGGGACTCTTGGAGATGGACTGAGTGAACTTTGCATTGTGAGATGGGCATGAGCTTTTGGGGGCCAGGGGTGAAATATTATGGTTTGGACCTTTAATTTCACCAAAAATGCTTGTGTTTTCAAAGCATGGTCCCCAATACAGCATGGTTCAGAGGTGGGGCATTTAGGCATTCTAGATCATGGTGTTGTAACCTCATCAGTGGATTAATCCATTTGATGGATTAATAATTTGAATGGACTACTTAGTGGTAACTGTAGGAAAACGGGGTGTGGCTGGAAGAAGTAGGTCATGGGGGTATACCCCTGAATTATATATTTCCCTGGCTCCTCTCTCATTCTCTCTGTTTCTCAGCTGCCATGAACTAAGCAGCTTTTCGCTGCCCTATCCTTCTGCCATGATGTTCTGCCTCATCTCAGGTCCAGGGCCATGGAGTCAGCCAACCATGAACTGAGACTTCTGAAGCTGTGAACACAAAACAAACTTGTCCTTCTCTAAGTTGCTCTTGTCAGTTATTTTGGTCACACAGTGACAAAAAGCTGACTAACATAATCTTCACAATTGCTACTGCACTGAGCTCTTGCATATCCCAAATCCAC